CGCCACTGTTGTTCATCAAATTATCAGATCAGATGACTTATTTTCCATCGTAAGGTCATGTGAAATTTGAATAGAGAAACAGAATAAGAAATTATATGCATGGAAGCAAATCACGTTGTGCATCACAAGAGATCCATGAATCTAAAAGAATTTAGCAAAAACAGGTTATACATGTGGATTCAGTAAATGATTTTACGAGGGAAAACGGATGAAATGGAAGGAAAAAGGTTAAAGGAAAAGAGGCGGGAACAAAAGATTGTACATAAAAATATTGAAAAGAAAAATGTTTAAAGTTTCTTGTACATAAATAAAATTTGGTCCAAAGGCAGTGATCATTCAAAAGAGTAACAAAAATCCTACCAATATTTATGTCAAGCAAAAGCCAGAGAGATAGATAGAGAGAATAGCATCAGAGATTTCTTCATGGCTTTTAATTATACTAATCAAAGTTGAACGTGCAATTCTGACATATTTTATAATTACTGTAGAAGTAATATTTGATACCAATTTGTTGAGAGGAATTGACGAGTCTCAAATGAACTAAAATAAACAAAATGACTTCATTTCATAACAGCAGAGCAGTCAGCAATCGAGTTACATAGTGACAAAGAAGGAAGGGTGATGGAAGCATTCTAAATTCATCGTGAAGGAAGAAAATATCTTGCGGAGATATGAGGTGTGAACAAAGGGAAGCAATCAATTAGAGAGAAAGTGTTTCCATCTACCAATCGGATTTTGGTGGTGCAGAACGACATTTTGTTGTCTTATATAGCGGTAAGTTTTCTTGGTAAGGTGAGAAGAATTTTCTTCGATGCAAATGTTAATCAAAGAATCTATACTTATCAAAACACAAAAAGAACTATACATTTATGACACTCCTAAAAGGAGATGATGATATGGAAGAGAAATGTTTAAATTCTCAACATGTTTTCTTCCAAACAAATAATATTATTAACATTGTTGCATATTTCTAGAATTCTCTAAACTAATTTGGAAAAAGAAAAAAGTTTAGGGGTTAAAGAATTATCTAGAATTCATTAGAGATTCTTGGGAAGCAAGTAAAATCAAAATAATGAAAATATTAGAAAATTCTAGAATTTCTTAAGGACCAAGTGAGATAAAATAATGAAAAAATAAAAATTCTCTAGAGGCAAGCCACCAACTTTTGTGTGCTACAAAAAGGGATTGTCACTTCAATTGTTGTATGTAGAAGTTTAAAAGCATTGTCATTGTAAAAGTTACCTGTCACTGTAAAATTCTATTTTTCAATAAATTAAATTTTCCTCCTTCAGTTATCTTGTCCAATTTAAAATTACTCCCTATTATTTTTATCCTACAAAATATACTTTACATAAACCACCAAACATTTTCAATCTAGTTCGTACTTATTTCTCATACCAACTATAAAATATCATCAGATATGAAGTAACATTGAATTCCAATTCCATCTCTTTTTTCCAGCTCTTTTCCCTTACAATTGGCCACATTAATATGTGCTAAGGATCATGCTACCAGAACCGTGGTGATGAAGGGGAAACTGAAGGAGTAAAACCCTACGACTCTGTGAAATTCTATCTTCAGTAACACAACCCTCCATCTAGTTTTTCAATAAAGCAGCTTGTTCAGGAGTTAAAACCTTCAATTTTTGCTTTTTATGACTGTTTCAAACGTTTCAACATTGTCGGTTTTTTATCTATGCCTTAATAGACTAGGACATGTATCGAGAAAGATTGAAATGTCGCTTATTATCCAATCTATGGCGCCTAATATTTATTTGGGAAAATGCACTTGTATTTAATTAGTGGGCCCCACATTTATATGAGAAGGCTGTACAATTTACAGCCCTACAGCCCTTAATGACGATAAATGTAGCAGTTCTCTATTTATTTCCCTAAAACTTTCGACAACACTTTCCTCGGGACCTCAACCATCAAATCAGCATGTAAACTTTGCTTTACCAGCAATATACACATTTAGGCACATGGATGTTGAAGAAATAGCCACTATTGGTCTCATAGAGTAACATCTATTTTCGTAAGCTTCTAGTTGAGCTAGTCAGATCGATGTCCTATACAAAATATATCACATTCTTCTCAATCAAAGTATGTAAATATTCCTCAAAACATACATTGGCAAATCTAAGACTGTTGGATTACGGCCAAATTACCGTGATCGAAAATTCACATTTAAGCACTCATTGCCAACAAATTTAAGTTCATAAAATGTGTGAAATTCTTGTAGCTAGAATTTAAAGAGCAGCAAATCCAAGAAGAAACCTTGAGAGAAATTCAATATGATTGATACATAATGACTGCTAACCAACTAAACTAAAAACTATAATTGTATATAGATTCTAGCTCGCATGCTAACTGTCTAAACTAACTATCAACCTCAAACTAACATAACAGTCAACAAATTTCGGTAGCAACAGAATTCAGACTGAGGTTTCTTTCCTTTGCTTCTTGAAATTCCAAGGCTTCTATATGAGTTTGTAGGTTCCAACAAAATGAACTAAACACAACCGGAAGTGCAAACTAGTGCCAAAACAAACATATCGAATGATGAACAGTAACAAACCATCAGAAAATCACGAGTAAAATGAGAGATCACTTCAAACCAGAAAAATCAGAAAATGTATGTATATAATTCCAGCAATGCCTTAGAAATGTCGATAAAAAATTCCGCCCTTCATTCTTAGCAAAGGAGTTCACACTCGTCTGTGTAGAGTACTCAAGTCTCTATATCAGGTGAATTTGAATAGTGGAAGAAAAGAGCCTCTTCAGATCTGAAGCTACAACAAAGAGTACGTGCAGTCAATTGAGTGGTGGCCAAATAATGCGTGTTGAAATGTACGCTTTGAACTTGAATTTATGTCGCAGTTTTGACTGCCATTATTTCAAAACTTTCATTCTAGGTACTCATTTTCGGCCATTAAAATCTTTTAGAGTAAAAAAATTGAAACGCGTTTTCGAACTTGAACACTACCCAAAATATAAGAAATTAGCAAAAAAGATAATAACAAAAAACTTACACGTACCTTAAATTACCTAAGAGATGTGCTTGGTGTTCTGGAAAAGATTTTTAAGGGGATGTGTCATTTTCGCATTGGGAGTTGAAAGAAAAAAAATACAACCATTACGGGTGCTGCCAGCACCAGTAAGCCCCCTCTATGATTGTTGTCAAATAGAGTCTGAATTGGACTGTGTTGCGATTAGACTTATTAGTCAATGGAAAATGCTACTTGTACATCGGGGTGTACATAAAGGTGTCCATGATGTCCATATGTACACCTCGATGTACTTGTAGCACCTCCCTTAGTCAATTGAGTTATTCCCCTTGTACACGGAAAATTGTACAAGTGGCTTACGGGTGTTGACAACATTTGTAATAATTGCATTTTTTTATTTTTTTTGTCCATTCCCAATGAGAAAACAACAATGCTAGGTGTACCGGGTGGGGGTTGACCAAACCCCCACAGACACCTCACAATAGGGGGGGTGGGTGGGATTTTTTGGGCAATTTTTTATTACATGTAGGACCTACCCATGTGAGTTATATGTACAAATTTTGTCAACCCCAACCGGTACAAGTGACTTAATTGATGAGAAAATGACACACCCTTTATAAAAATCGTGTAGAGCTTTTCCATGTACACCAACCTCATCTCTTAGGCAATTTAAGGTCGGTGTAAGTTTTTTGTTATATTTTTGGTGGTGTTCAAGTTTTTGAAAACTCATTTCATTTTTTTTTTTTTTTGAACTCTAGAAGGTTTTTAGGTTATGACTTGCTACAAAAGATAACCAAATGTTTGGAAATAGGGGTGGCGACGGACTAGTCCATTGATTCAGGCTGGGCTTGACCTTGGGACAGAGCTGCCCCAGCCCAATGTGAGCAATGGTCATATTATAAACGTTGTCAATTTTATCTTACAAGTGAAAGCCATCATATATGCGTAACATATGATGAGTAAAGTATCGAATCTATGATGATTTATCATTTGCTTATTAACTTTAAATAAACATAGCCCTAATCAAGAAAAAAACATAGTAAAGTTTTTAAATGTAACTAATTATCTACGAAAATCAGCAATTGAATCCCTAGTCCACCGTTGTTAACCAACTTTAACCCTAAGTTACCCATTATTTATAATTCTTATTTTACGAAGACAATCAATATTCCTTATATATTAATTTTCTCTCACAAGATAAATTAATCCAATTTTTATCTATGATCCAACCATATATTCCTACAAAAGACGTTAATAGACAAAAACGCAAGAGATTACCACAATTTTTACCTACGACCAGGGGCGGACCTACATGAGGCCCAGTGGACTCAATTTTAAGATTTTCAGAATTATTTTTTTAGTTTTTTTTGTTAATGTTTTTTTAGGTTTTTAGATTTTTTTTAAAGGTATTTTGGTTTCCCCCCGCTGAACTGTCTTCTTGGGTCCGCCCCTGCCTACTACCCAATACTCTCATTCTTCTTCGACGAGAGAATTTCTATATTTTGCCTAAGATTCTTGATCTCGTGGTTTTCATAATCTTGATTAGCTCTTTATTTGATTTTTCATATGCCTTGAAAATACCTAAATTGCTCCCACATTCAAGTTGATGCAATCAGCTATCGACCGTGACCAAATTGATTGGATAGCCGCGAGCAGTATATGCGTAGTGACTTTTACCCAGCTTATAATTTTGTCCATTCCAGTCCTTGAACTTCATCCAAATAGGTTCTTTAACTTGAATATTTTCAATCTTGGTCCTTCAATTTCTAAAAATGTTCACGATGACCCTCGAGGTTCATATTTCATCCACTTCCGGTCTCCATAACTTATGAAATCAAACATTCTAAGCTTTCAATCAAATCCTCAAATTTAAGATCCTAACTTATGAAACACACTTATCCAACTCGCACTATATAAAACATACAGCTGGAAATTGCAAACTCCAAATAATCAGCCTCAGTATCTAGACACACTCCCGGGGTGAAGGGGCAAAATGGCTGCTGCATTCATGATCAAGCCGTTGACTTCATTCTACACCGGAAGAGCTGGAAACTCAGAACTATGCTCCGTTGAATCTAGGCCATTCAACAAGCAAAACTGTCGTTTCAGTGCAAATTCTCTGGCGTTTTTCAAAAAGTCTATCAGCATTGATTCCAATATTAAGAATAATGGAATTGTGTGTAAAGCAGTTTCTTTGCAGCCACTAACTGAGATTGAAGGCCTCAATATCGCCGAAGATGTGACCCAGGTGGGACGGGCATTTCTCTATTTTTTGTTTTTTTTTTTTAATTTAATGTTTTCGTTAAATGCGTATGAATTTATGGGTATTTCTTTGAATTGTTGGTAATGAATGAGGATTTGAATGAAATGTAATGCGGGACATTGAAAAATAAGTAAAACTAGTTGGAGAATTTTAGTATATTTTCGTCTCTTACATAGTACATTAAAATCAGATTAAAATTGAAAATATAGTTGTTGACTTTTATTAGACGAGTGGGCCCAATAACGGCTATATTTTCAATTTTAATTGACTTTTAATCCCTCCCGAACGGGCTAAGCATTCAATTGTTTTTTCTCATCGAAGTAAGTTGGGGAAAGATTTTCAGGGATTAAAGTATATCTGGGATCAATTGGAGACTTCAATATAAATTCCAAGAAATATTTACCAGTTCAACAATGTTTATTTACCGCAATTAGAGAAATATTGGGTCATTGTTATTGACAGATTTTGTGTTTGTGGAACAATGAAATGATTGAAAAACAATAGAATTTGATGTCTACAAAGTAACAAAGAGAATTGCAATTGAGGTCGATGTAAGCAATATTTTCAACGGCATATGAGGCTTCTGCATTGAGACGAGCCTCGTACGAGGCATTCATTAGGAAACCATAATTTATACTTTGAGGGCCCTTGTCAAGGATCACACCTTGACTTATTGACGCAGACACCTCAAGCCATAAGCCTCAGGGCTCTGAATTTGTGATCTCCCTTGTCTTGCCTTTCAGGGTTGGTTTTTACCATTCTCAGTTTTTTGGGCTTATATTTTTAACATTTTATTGGATTTTAGAAAAGAGTCAATCTTAAAAATTAAAAGAAAAGACTTGCATTGATGTGTGGTCTCCAAAGTAAAGTGTCAACTTTTCGATATGCGAATGACAAATGTCGGGAGATTTCAGCACACATTCTTCCTTTTTCTTTTACTTGCTGTTGTTTCTATATTTCAGTTTTCTTTACTTTTAGATGAAGTAAAAGAAATTTTTTTATAGTATTTTAGTTATTTCATTTGTTTTAGACTTTTAGTTGTAGTTGTAGTTTGATGCTGATGCTTTGTGATAGTTTGACATTTTCTATAAGACTTGCTAATCTTTGTAAGCATGTATTCCCACGTGGTTGCTTTTAGAATTCTCTGGCGTTCATTACGTGGAATGAAGCAAACATGATAATAATAAAATATCTAATATATTTTTTGCTTATATGAAACTATACTGTGTTTGCCTTCCATTGTTAATTTTATTTCACCTTGATGTCAAGTTTACTAGGCTATCTATTTGTTGATAATTTATTTGTTATCTTGATGCTTTGTGACAGCTTATAGGGAAGACTCCGATGGTTTACTTAAATAATATTGTAAAAGATTGTGTTGCAAATATAGCTGCGAAGCTTGAGATAATGGAGCCATGTTGCAGTGTCAAGGACAGGTGAGAGCTTTTCTGGTTTTTGCTGCATAATTTTGAATTCATGTGTTAAGAAATGCATTACAAGATTGAGTTTAAAAAATGTATTGACTAGTATCTTTTCTGACTTGTTTCCGTGTTCTGCTTTGCAGCTAAAAGTTAAAACTTTTTTTGGTTCTGACGTCATACTAGTCTAACATATATATGGTTCCATTGTTCTAGATTCCATCGAATTTGTCTGAGGCATTGTAAATTCTACTTCTTAATATTACAGTTGTTGATTTTTAGCTGATTTTGCTTACCCTCTGTTTGTTTGTATCATTGTCCTGTGATGATGGATGAATTGAGATTTAAAGCTCCTAACTTGTGCCTGCGTTTTGAAAATCAACTTTTGATCTAGATAATTTAAAACATTAAATTTCAAAATGATCGCTAAATGTATTTACACTAGTCTTTTGCTTTCAGGATAGGATGCAGCATGATATCAGATGCTGAGCAGAGAGGACTTATAACTCCCGGGAAGGTAAGATGCTTAATCTTAATAAATTACTGATTCTAGACTTAGTTGCTTTGCTTCTTCCCCCACCTGAAAAAAAGAAGAAAAGGTAAAGAAAAAGAGAGAGCAGATTTTTAAAAAAATCAATTTTTTGCCTTTACTTCCTATCCAATTTGACCCTTCCAGAATACCCCTAGCACTATATTCATTTAAATGGTGAGACCCAGACGCTGCTGTCAGCGAGCTTCTTGTAAAACTTAGGCAGAACTGACCTTTTGTTGTATAAGCACTTGATATGTAGATACAAGTACCTGTGTGCATGCCACTGTGCCGCCATTGTCATCTTTAAATGGACCTAAATTTCTTCATGTTTTAATGACTAGCTGTTCTGGCCAATAGTTGCATAGTAACCTCCTGCCCTTTTGTGATTGCTTGAGTGTCAGCTATCATGTCGGCCACCTTCAAATTAGCAGTTTAATGAGTAAAATAGTCTCTGAATTTTTCGTCAGCTAACTTTCACATTCAGTGGGTTGGAGAAATGACACGTGTTATGATAGTGGAGTATCGAGCTTTACAAATTATGGAATTGAATGTCTAAGAGAGCAATCTATTTCTCTGCTCTGACAGTATGGCAATCACATCAAATGGTCATCATTTAAACTTTCAGTTATGTTCCAGATCTGGAGTCTTGTTGGCTTTGTTCTGGGCAATCGTTTAGTCTTTTAAGGTTTTTAGGCTGGTCAACAGATTTGAGAGTTTAGATCTCAAGCATACTCTTGATGCACATGGACAAATATTTTGATGCCAAGATCTGTAATAGATTATTTCTTAAACCATGATATATGTACAATGCATGGTATGGTTTTCTGTTGTATTTTATATGATAACTATGCTATTCAAACTTATTCTTGTACACATGTTTATGCTCATGTTTCTCGCCTTTCAAGAATTGAATCAATTTATTTATGGGGTCTTACTTGTTATGTTATCCAAATAACGGGATTAAATATATTAAAATATCAAATTCCTTTCAAAGGTATTGGTATGTTATAAATTGTCTGCCCTGATTGGTTTGGTGAGATAACCATATGTTGATTTACCGAGACATTATCAATTATGCTTTTTGAACCTTTATTGCAATTAGGTGAAATGTTGTCTCAACAAGTTACCTAGCGCTGTAATAATAAATTGACTCCTATGGTCACTGGATCTGGCTTGATCTTGCATCTCTTTTGTCAATATCGGTATAGTGATTTCTATCCATTTCTTGCTTTTGGTAAACTGTATTCTTACTATGGAAGCTTTTTCTTTTTATGCTAGAGCATTTTGGTTGAACCTACAAGTGGAAACACGGGGATTGGACTGGCATTTATAGCTGCTTCAAAAGGATACAAGCTCATCTTAACTATGCCTGCATCAATGAGCCTTGAGAGAAGGGTTCTTTTGAGGGCATTTGGAGCTGAACTCGTTTTAACTGATGCAGCCAAAGGCATGAAAGGAGCCGTGCAGAAAGCTGAAGAAATATTGAATCGCACCCCAAATGCCTATATGCTTCAACAATTTGACAACCCTGCAAATCCCAAGGTTTCTCTTTTCTTCCTTCCATCATAACTCTTTCTAATAGATTTGGTTAGGAACCTTTTCTGTTCAATCAGTGGGTATCATTAGTGAGCTTTCATCCTGGGTTGGTTTTAATCACCTAAAGAAGTGCACCGAGTATGGATGTGAGTAGAATTGGCGCTTTAGTCTTCTCTCTCTTTCTGACAGTGGAGATGCTTGAAATACAATAGTCTGGTTCAATATCTGTCTAATGAAATATTATAAAACAATTCATCTTTTGTGCCTTTTATGCTTGCTTTATGATCTTTTAATTTAGATACATAACACGAATTCATAGATTTGGACTTACAGTCCTGCATCTTGCAGATACATTTTGAAACAACAGGTCCAGAGATCTGGGAAGATACAAGAGGCAAGGTGGACATACTTGTTGCAGGGATTGGCACTGGTGGAACCATTTCAGGAGTTGGCCAATATCTTAAAATGAAAAATCCTAAAATTAAGGTAGTAGATTCACCGTTTAGGAAAACATTCCGTTTATATATTTTTGCACTGTGATTGTATCCGTGCACATCAGCTTAGTGCAAATGATCTCCTGCCTTGAGAGTCAAAGTAAACCAATAATTTGTTAGATGTCTCTGATTTATTGTAAACAATTGAATTGGTAACCTGTTGCATCAGGTTATCGGCGTGGAACCCACAGAAAGCAATGTCCTGTCTGGAGGAAAACCTGGTAAGATGAAAGTCAAATAGCCTACACTTTCATAGCTTCAATATGAAATATGTATATTGTTCTAGTATGTGCAATTTGAAACTTCAGGCCCTCACAAAATTCAAGGGATTGGAGCAGGTTTTATTCCAAAGAATTTAGATGAGGATGTGATGGATGAAGTTATAGAGGTCCAGTTCTTACTTCCACAATACTATATACAACTTATGTGCATTTCCATGTAATTAACAGATAATATTTAGTTTAAGTTTTACTCAGTTAAAGCCACTTAATGGATCCAAAATTGTCATTTCGTTGAGCAGCTTTATATTTCTTATATTAATCTTTTTCTTGTCTGATTATCTTGGTGAAGATAATGTCATTTAACAGCCAGTTATGAAATTCTCGTATTACATTAATCATGTCAGGGGGCAGATGAAGTTATGAATTTTGTAGAACTAATTTTTAATATCATTTGGACGCATCAAATTTTGACATTCACAATGTTAGTAAAGATGACAGTACATATTTCTCACGTTTTTGACAGTAGTTGGAGTACAGTTCATGCAGGTATTGTTGCTGTCAAATGATATCTCCCACTGCATTGATCATTGATCATTCTAGCTTGATGCTTAGAGTTTCTAGCCTTATTTTCCAATTCTCACGCTGCAGTTTTAGAATTAAATTTGCGTTGTCGAATATGTTGGATGTGTGGAGCCTTATTATATTGTTCATTTTTCCTTTTGACCACGGTTCAACGTTGCGATAAAGTTGACGGGGTTAGGGGCCTGTAGAGAGAACATTATATAGAGGCATGAGTTCATAAACATATTGTAATCTTCTTCTCTTTAAAGTGAAATCCTATTGTGGCAAGTGGACTTATCTCTCACTTTGAGATTGTACTATAAATTACATGTTTTTACTTGCTTTTTCCTGTTTCGTGTTATTAATTGCTCTTGGTGTTAATCGATAACAACATGAATTGGAATAGGGACGTAGACCAAGCAAGCAATTCTTTCCCCGTGAAAACATTTGGCAAAAACTTAGACCTTTAACATTTATGGGAAGAGTAGAATATGATGTTTTAATGTGTTACCATTCTAGAATTTGGTCCTTGGTGGGGCTCATATGTTTCTTATTCTGTCCTCAACCATAGCCTTTAATTGGACAACGTCATCTCCGTTGGCTGTTCTATTCATTAGGATTTGAACTTTTGATGTCTTGGAGTTGATTTTGTTTGATATTATTTCTGAGAAAGAATTCCTTGTATATGTCAGTGGAGCATCCTGTAATTATTGCCGTTATATAATCTTGAGTCATATTTCGTGTATATGAATTTATAAGTTTTGTTTTGAGGGTAAAGGAGGTTGTGGTAAGTTGGCAATTAATATAAATATAAAACTTCGTCACATCTTATAACGTGAAGATAGAGTTGCTTTGGATCTTTGAGTAGATGAAGCAATGCACCTAACAGAGTGACCAAAAACATTCATGTAACCGACCTAAGCCTTGGTTTTTTGTTGTATGATTTCAGTTGCCTTAGTTTGTCAGTCCTTCATTGCCCCTGAAGGTGAGGGCTTAAGTGTACTTTCAATTGCCTGATAATACATGTTTCATTCTCATAGTTAGGTAAACTAAATGTCTAGACCACGTAGTTTTGTGATTCTATTATCTTTAGTAGAAACTTGTCACAACAAAAGCTTTCTTCTGTCCCTCATAGTGTTATATTATCTCTGCCAGTTGAGTTACCATTCCAGGCACATCACTCTTTGCTCATACTTGTCCACTGCTGATATCGGATCTCTGCGATTTTGATCTCAAAAAATTGTCCTTGTGAAACTAGGAAATTCAAATTGAGACAAAACTAATCTGTATTTATTTTCTCTCTATTAGCTGTTTAATATGTGATATTTAACAGTTTCTTGGTTCTGCTAATTCAATTGGCATTTTCTCATCCAGATATCAAGCAACGAAGCTGTTGAAACTGCTAAGCAATTAGCTCTTCAAGAGGGCCTGCTGGTTAGTACTTCATGTTTGTATTGCATAAATTTTTTAGAGCCCCCCTACATCAGTATTGCATCTTCGAGTTTCATACTTCTTTACAGGTGGGTATTTCTTCTGGAGCTGCAGCTGCTGCAGCCATGAAGGTTGGAAAGAGACCTGAAAATTCAGGAAAGCTTATTGCGGTATGCTAATTGATATATATATATTTTTTCCTCTTTCATGTTGGTGATATCTCATATCAATCAAGTGAACGTATTCAATATAGTTTGGCTCAGTTGAGTTTAAATGTAATCCTTGGACTCTGGAAATCACAAGTTTTTGCTTCTGTAAGCTTTCAAGTACACAAGGAACAAACGTTTTGTCCTTCAATAGCTGCTTATGAATGGTGGACTGAATTGGTCCAACATAAAAAGAAAGTGAACACAACCCTAGTGTTTCATGTTGAAGATCAATATATAGATCTAAACTGGACCTGCAGTATGGTGTGATCTCCCTCTGTATTTTTTTCCATACACATTTCCTTTTCAACTTGTATGAGAATGCCTAGTTGCATAAGATTTTTATGGCATGTTGATAGGTAGAATTTATAGTAAATGGGCAATATTAAGATAGTGTCAAGTTTTATCTAGTACTAAATACGAAACATGCACATATGTTAATTAATGGTTTCAGGTAGTTTGTGGCTTTGCCACGGAAATTTTGCTGGCAATAGCCAGCTCCAATGGTTTGTTGAAAATTAAATGGTTTAGTATGACCAAAATTAGAATATTTTGCACCTGATTTTGTGGATTAATGTTGTGCTCAAATAGAATTCCATCAGCATTTAAAGAGAAGTCTAATAAACAGAAAAAATAGTTTAAGCAATTGAAGAAAGGAAATCAATAGAGTTAAACTAATTTGAAGTTATGTATTCTTGTAGGTTGTGTTTCCTAGCTTTGGAGAAAGATATTTATCGACAGTTCTTTTCCAGTCGATCAGGGAGGAATGCGAGAAGATGCAGCCTGAAGCATAAATTTCATCATTTTGCTGAAGCCATTGGTCGCAAATAGATATTGGTTTACAATTTTCCTTTCTGCAATTTAAATATTTTCTCTCATTTTACACGTCGAAGATGTGTGTGGTACGTGTGGAGTCTTTCACTACATGTAATAAACTTACAATTACAATTCCTCAAGTCTGATATCTGAACATTTGTCTAGGAAACGAGTGGATTTGTATCATGGTTGTTTAAACAAACTCCAAGAGTTACTTTTGAGAATGAAGAGTTCAAAGATTACAATGAGAGGTAGCACTGGTCATAAGTATTAATTGCACTTTTAACATTGGAATTTATCTCAAATTTCCACACACGAGCTATACAGTTAATAGATCATGCAGCGAGAGGTACATCTTCTAAATTAGCAGAAATTCTGACTATTTAGTGAATGTTTAATACTCTGAAGTAGGTTACATTAGAACCTTATACTCAATCTAATACCCTTGGACCAAATTCATGGTTCCACACAATAAAGAAGCATGTGCAACCCTTACAAAGCATTAAAGGGCATGTTTTGTAACCATACGTCCACACGACCATGGCAACTGTATTTGGACATCGAGCCTTGACATGGTTCATGTTGGATTCAGTCCTTATTTTACGTATACGTACAGTTCTATGAGAGTTGTGCCTCAAAAAAAAAAAAAAAAATCTTTTACGTATCAAGCAATTCAAACTCAAAGCTTCCCTTTAAAGACACTTGCATTGAAATGTCCGTAGAGGTAGAGGTGTCAAGATGGACGAGTCGGCCAGACCCGTGAAAATCGGCCCGAATTGACATTAAATTTGAATTTTATGTAAACATTTATTGGTATAAATATGAATTTATCATTTTGTTCAATTCTAAGTTTACATTTAAAAAAAATATATTTTTTGCTATAAATATGAAAAATTTTATATTTTTATAATTTTATTTATATAATCATA